CTGAGTAGCTGGGATTACAGATGTGAGCCACTGAATCTGACCCTTTTTCTCTTTTAGAAACGGGGTTTCTCCATCACCCAGGCTGGAACACGGTGGCGAGATCATAGCTCACTGCAGCCTCAAACTTCTGGGCTCAAGGGATCTTCTCCACCTCAGCTACCCCAACTCCAGGCACAAGCTCAAATAGGCTACGATTCTAAATTCTGTGATTTGCAGGGTGTGGTGCTGCACCGTAGTCTCAGCTAATGGGGAGGTTGAGGCAGGAGGATTGCTTGAGCCCCGGAGTTTGAGCCTAGCCTAGGCAACACAGCAAGACTCCCTCACTGTTTCTGTCTCTCTCTCTCTCTCTCACACACACACACACACACATCATGGTTCCAACACAGGCTTCTGACATTGTGCCTCTTACAATTCCTGCTTTATTGATCTTTACCCCCTCCCTGCTGATGCCCTCCCTGCCCCCACACCCCGGGTCCCTCTCTTACCAGACTGGCAGGCTGTCCTTACCAGCTCTGAATGGGCACAGAGAGGCTTTATAGCTGTTGAGATCCACCTCCGCTCCACAGCCACCACCCCCATCCATGGTCTAGGCCAAAGTCCTGGCCAACAGAACCACCGAGGGGGTGGATAGGGGCAGAAAGGGCAATGACATCTCCCAAGGTCAAGCCACAAGGAAACTTCATGCTAAGAATTCGCCCCTGACAGAGGTTGGGCTGGTGGCTGTGGAGGGGTTGGAGGTGCTGGGTGCCCATCGGGAATGGAGTCAGATCTTGCGGGAGACAAAGGCAAAGCTCTCGGTGAGAGCCATCGTGGAAATCTGCTAACCCCACCCTCACTCTACTCTCCTGAAACTGACTCGCCTCCAAGTTCCCCACCCTCTGCAAGCCCACAATGGGGTGTTATCCCTTGACACCCTTCGCTACCCCCCAAATCTCCCTCCCACGTCAGGTATCACCTCTTCTACTCATTAATTCCTGGGAGAGCATGGGGTGGGGTTATTCCTGGCCACACTGGGGAAGGAGCCAGACAGGGGCACAGGTGGGACTGTATTTATTGGAGAAGTATGAACTTAATTTTTTCTTTTTTCCCCCCAAGACATCTTGCTGTGTTGCCCGGGCTGGTCTCGAGCTCCTGGGCTCAAGGCATCCTCCTGCCTAAGCCTCCTGAGTAGCTGGGACTACAGGCACACACCACAACCACACCTGGCTTTTATGGACACTTTAATACTAGTTCTTGTCCGCACAGAGAAGCCTGGGGCACAGGCTGTAGGTCTTGTTCAAGAGGCTGTCTTTGGATTCAAGGAGCCAGGTCTTGGTGCGAGGACCCAGGTCCCTCAGGTGATCGTCATAGTAGGTCTGCATGAAGCCCCGGAGGGTGCTGAGGCTCCTGTCGCAGAGAGGACATCACAGTGCAGACCCCAGCGATCCCCAGCTGTTCTGTGCCCCATTGATCTGACTCTCTCTGATCCAGGAGTTCCTGCTCTCACATCTAACCCTCCACTCCTCCCAGACCCAGGGGTCACAGCCCCACTCCCACCCTTTCTCCCTCCCTCAGACCCAGGGGTTTAGACCCCAGCCCCTTCCTCCCTTAGACCTGTGGATCCAGGCCCCAGCCCCCTCTTCCCTCAGACCAAGGGGTACAGGACCCCAGCCCCCTCCCCCCTCAGGCCCAGAGGTACAGGCCCCCAGCCCCCTCCTCCCTCAGACCCGGGATCCAGGCCCCAGCCCCCTCCTCCCTCAGACCCAGTAGTCCCCTCCTGCATTCCAGCCCAGCACACACTTACCAGAGCCACTGCCACCTGTCTCTGGTCCTGGTCATTGCTGGCTCCAGGAGCTCCTTCATCCTGCTCTGCACCAGGTTCCAGCGACTCATCTTTTGCTCTGGTGGGGGGCTTGGGGTGCCTTCATAGGCTTCTGACTGGCATGCTAGGTTGGAACCAGAAGGCAGCTGGGGTGGGCTAGGACCCTAGATCCCCCCTCCTCCCTTCCCCTCCATGCTCATCAGTCACACCTGGTGGCACAGGGGCAGCCCCCTGCCAGTCCTCTCCCCTCTTGCCTTTACCCTTTATGTCCCCTGACTTGCTATTCCTCTTTAACCGTCAGCCATCTCTCTCTCTTTTTTTTTTTTTGAGACGGATTCTCTGGCTCTGTTGTCCAGGGTCAAGGGCAGTGGCTTGATCTTGGCTCACTGCAAACTCCACCTCCCGGATTCAAGCAATTTTCCTGCCTCAGCCTCCTGAGTAGCTGGAATTATAGGTACCTGCCATCATGCCCGACTAATTTTTGTATTTTTAGTAGAGATGGGGTTTCACTATGTTAGCCAAGCTGGCCTTGAACTCCTGATCTCAAGTGATCTGCCCACCTTTGGGATTACAGGCATGAGCCAGCGCGCCCAGCCGGGCCATCTCTTCGCCGTGTGTCAGCAGCCCCTCTTGTCACCGTCTGCCTGTGCTTTCCCTCTAATTCCC